TGAACAGCTGGAAAAGCTAGTTTTCCTATGTTTTCAGAATCATTAAAACCAAAAATGCCGCGTATCTGATTAAAAGTAACGAGCCTCTGGACGCGAACAACATTCTGGTAAAATTCGGGGCACTGCCTTAATTTTTAATAAAAATACAATGTGAATTGAGCCAGAGCAGTAAAATATTTGCTTAAATATGGTAATTACCCCATATATTGAAAGTCGCTAAATATAAATGTTTTATTAGGATCAAAGCCAACGGCAACGATGTCTCTAGCATTTTCACGTCCCATTTCTAGGGATTGTTCAAGAGTCAAATTTTGCCATAGATATTTTTCATCATCAGTAAGCTGAATGACTAGAGGAACATCAAAGGCCTCCTGTATCCATCTCCAAAATAATAAAGCACTAAATACTTTGTCATTATGAAGGGAATCAGATGGCCTATATGCAGTGATGTGGATGAAGGTCCCCTTCCCGTATACAGGTAGAAGGGTTTATCATGTTTATAGCGTTCAATTATATTATCCAATTCTCTAGAAATATTTTATAGAATGAGTCAAGAGAATACCTGTGAGAAAAGAACATTCTTCTGCGCAGCAAATGGTGTGCAGGTACTTTTATCGCATTTTCCAGCAAATTAATAAGAGCGTCATCAACTTCGGAGCACCCGAACTTATCAAGTAGCTTATTGTAATCTACTCCAGTATCAGATCCTGCTTTAACTTCCCAAGGAGTAACAATATCCCCAGTTGGTTCACTCTGCATGAGGGGAGCAAGCCAAAAGCGAGAGATCAATAAGGGCGGGGTAAAAGTGGCCTAAATAAATGCAGACAAGCGATTTATAATAGATACTATAACAATAATCTAGCTTCAACTTGAGATCCAAATAAAAAATAAATTACAATTTCCTAATATAATAGCGTGTACAAAATGCTTCACCTTCCCTCCCGCTATGAAGCTGACGTTACAATTGATGGAGTTGAAGGGTAACATGCTTCATTTGGTACATTTTTCAGTTTTTATTAGGGCAATAAATGCTTTAGGAAGGTTAGGCGACGAAATATATTACGAGTGGGTTGCTGGAGGGGTAAATTTCTTTTCGTACTACTTCTTAGTTAAGCCTGCGATCCGTTAATGGACCGCGATCAGCGTTTGCATCAATAACCTTCAAAGAACACTTTTTTGAAAAGGTTGAACGAGATCAAACATCTTGTGATTTTCCTATTTTTAAAGTTTCTAGCAGGGTTTGTCAACATATTATTATTTTTAAGTCCTCTTGTAGAGTATTCAAAGCATCCCTTTCCCTAGAAAAAAGTGTTGAACGCTGCAAAATCGTTTTGCTCCCGGAAGGAACTTTGCTCATTGTTCAGTATTTTTGTCGTCACGGCATAATAAAAACTTACAACATGAATACAATTGAATGCGAGAGTCTTCAAGCCTTGTATTCTTTAAAAGAAAATAAAAACTGTCTTGCTATTTGCACTAAGTAATATCTATGTGTTATCCATTTTAGAGTGCTTCTCGAAATACTTAATAACTTCCGTCCTAACCACGAGGAGATAACTATTTGCCTGGGTAATAATCAATGCATTTTTCAAAATTATGTATTGAATGGAGGTGAATTTGTTTCTGCTTACAATTCTCTAAGAGTCCATTGTTACACAGTTTCCCATCAGCTCGAATGAATTTGAAAAATATATAGTCAAGGCGAAAGCTGATTTAACATTTTGCCAAAAAGAGCTCAGGGTAAGCTATAACTTAGTTTTTAGCAGTTAAAAGGCATTCCTAAATATCATACCCTTGACACTACCTTAATTGTAGTTTCTGTCTGAGTTAAAGCATTCTGGAATTTTGTTATTTATACCTCAAATATTCTGCTACTGCTTGATTACGTCAAGTTATCCTCATGTCTAGCTCCAAAATTATTCTGATTTTAATCGGACAGGAAACCAACATTCCATAAGATATGTATTTTTACTAAACGGGCACATTATATTCACCTTGAATTTATACATGACTATTTTTTATGCATTCTTGTCACAGCAGGTGCTTCTAGGCCTCTTACCGAAGCCAAGCGTGGGAATTGTTAAAAAATAAACTAAATTAAACTTTAATATGAACACCAAGATGATATGCTATTTTGTTTGGTCACAATCTCCTTTAGCTATATTATATTAGCTTGATCTCGTCTTCGCAATTTAGTCGAAGCGATAGAGAGACCTTGTGGGACGTACCTAAATCTATCCTCTGCCGTAGTATTCATGATGACTTTCAGCCTCGGACATCTGCCTTGGTACATTCCTATACATTTCGCCGGCATCTTCATTGAGAGGCATCATCCTTAACACTGAGTTGCGACTTATCACGGTCGAATGTGAGGGCAATCCTTTTGACTACTTTCCTGTTCAACCGTTATAGCATCACTTTTTGCCTTTATTTTTCGTTATATCTTCTAGTGCTGCATCTCTTTCTCTCAACCATACTTAATATGGACCATTTACCTATTTACACTAGCTTGTGTTCTGGTTTCCTCCAATGTCGCTTCAAGTTGACCTAGTGGGACATGATCACCCTCACTGCTTTCAGATGCCGTTTGCAAGGTCTCAAGTCTGATGGGGGCGAATATGCTTAGGCATAAGAATAATCGTTTTTGAAAATCGCCGAATATGGTGTAAACGGGGACCGGAATTGAGGGCTCATAGACGGTGATTTTCATTTGTTCAAGGGAGCAATTGACAAGCGAGATAGAGGTGAGCTGAATGAAAGTCGCAAGCCTTGTAAAGGAAGTTTTGAAACCGGTTGTGAAGGTGATTATGCCTCACTAAATCCATAATCGAGAGCATAAATGGTGTTAATAAGCAAATGGGCGACATAAAGTGGGGCTGAGAGAAATAAATTTAGCACTGGAATCTAGGACAAAAATATAAGCGAGGAGTGATGCCACATAGGTTAAACAGAAAAAATTTCAAGTAGATTGCCTTCACTTGTCACTTTGATAAGCTTTAACTGTGTGTTAAGGATGGCGCATCATACTAACGATGCAGGCGAAACGTCTATGGATGTACCAGGTCCATGGTCTGATACTGGGAAGTAACATAACTACCATAGCAGAGGATTTCAGGGAAGGTGCGTCCAATTACGTCTCCGTGACAGCAGGACCAAGTTGTGAAAACGAAATCAACTAATTTCTATACGTCGGGAAGAGACTGCGACCATACCGAGGACCACATCATCTTGTTCTTTATATTTTCAACGGTCTGATGGAAATTATCATGAATACTTTGACAGCGGACGCAGGGCTAGGTACTTTCCACAAGGTCTCCCTATCGATCTAACTGCGTTACGAGGACTAAGCCAAACCAATATTAAATAAAACGTTATTTTTTCTTTGTTTTGCTTTAAATTTTCATAGACTCAAAGGCACAGTTGTTTTGAACTGATTTCATATCTTTTTTATGCTGAGTTTCTTCCAGATAGGAGAAGTCTGATAATCTTTGTTTTTGCCTCTTATTATTAACCCTCGTAACTTTGATTATCACATATATATATATAATCTTTTTCTACTATAATTTTGACAAGATCCTTTTTTCATAGTTCAGGTGTTAAGCTTCCCATATTTAATTGTATACTCACTCTTTGCATCGCTGGCACAGGTTAAATGAAAGTATTTCAAGTAGATCCAACTTATTTAACCAGCTCTACTCTGAGATCTTAGTCATTCTCATTAAGTGATCCCTTAGGGGCAAGAAGCCTTTGATGGGATTAATAGAAATGCAGAGATTTAGGTTCGTGATATAATCTCGCATAAACGTCTACTTAGTCATAATTTCCACTATAATTACATCATACTGCACCTCTGTTTTGCCTTTTGTATTTATGTTGCTTCCTTGTGCATCTGATTTTTATTGCACGACTGTCTTAACCTGATTTCATCAAAAGCTGTGCTCTTGGTTTCGTCAGAGCTAAAAAATTTTTGATGGGATTCATTTATTCTCTTGGTCGATTCTAAGGACGGTCTCACCAAAAGAGGATTGCTGAATTCCGTTGTACTGCAGCCCTTTGGCTCTTATACGATGTTCAGGCTGACGCAGTCCACGATACCTCTCCTCTCATTTCGGGTGAAAACAGGCTGAGCTTTTGTTCATCATATGAGCTTGGTATCATTCCTGTAAAAGTTTCACGTTAACACTAGGTCAAGAAGACTATCCGGCTCTATCTTACCTCTTATATAGACTCAATTAAGCCACAAGGAAATTAAAAACCTAGATAGATAGATATAGAGTGGTTTGGCTAATTATCTTTCATACTGGTCCTGCTACTTTGCTCGAGTATGTGCGTTTGTGTATATGTATGTGTGTGTGCCAGCGTCTATACGCAATAGCGATCCTAAATCAGAGTTATCAAAAGGCTAATGTTAGGCTCTGACCATTAAGGCTTAATGACCCAAGAGAAAGTCCTGACCGAGGTTGCGTAAGTTCGTAAGCAAGTATGGGTGAAATAATGAGATGCAAGCTTGTAAACAATTAAGTCAGGTTGCGAAACCACTTGTCATAATCTCTCAGTCTAGGTTCATTAACGTTTAACCACCAAAGGAAAGGCATGACTATGTCTGCATAATCTGGCACGTCTGGTTTGGTTGATGAGCTTAATCTAACATGTTGGATGAGCGTGAGTGAAGTTAGAATCATCACCGAGCAGACAAGTTGAGTCGCCTTCTTTTGGATGGCGGCTCAACACATTCTCTCTCCTTCAATCTATTAATCAAGCATAAGTAGTTCCTACTCAACTTTATACCGCCGTTCCTCACATTCAACGTATTTCCTAATCTATTAATTTTAATAGCCACAAACGTATCATGATCAGCAAACCTAGTTTGAGATCATTCTATTTCATGTCCAGTTTCTACCATGTGTTCGGCCACTTCTGACTATTGGAACAAGCTTCCTTTACAAGCATTTTCCCCCCCAATTTTGTCGAATAGGTCGGCATATCCCAGTAACATAAGATCGACCTCAGGAGCAAACAATCTTGTAGCAGTCGGATCTCGATAATGGGTCATATTTCTCTCTGAAAGATGGCATACCAGAAGAAAGTGTGAGGGTTTCTTTAAACACTGTTTTTATCTCCCACTTTCTTACTAATTCGCCTATCTTTTTTTAACGAAGGTATGACGGAAAAAGTTTATGTGTGTGTTAATACGTACTTATTTGCTAATATCTTCGAGAAGGATAGCTTCTCTTAATTCTTAGGTAAATACTACATTTTCATTTTTACATTTAACTTTTTAGGCTATTTTGTCATTCGGTGAGATGGTTAGTCCTATCTTACTTGTCTATTGTGATGTTGCTGGCCAACCTATGGTATTCACATACAATAACGAGGCTCGTTACTCGGCGCGCTTTGTTCTCGCTACTCTTCCTCCTGTCTTTAATTCCGATGCGAACGGGCAAATCTCAGGGAAGCATGGGGAGATCACAGCAACGGCTTTATCATCGAAAGGTTTCGTGGATGCCAGCAAATTTGTCTCTACACCTCGACTTACAAAGCAGACTTGCAATTTAGCAGTTCATTCCAAGACTAATGAGCGTCAATTCAGCTCTGTCTCTTTATCGCCCGATAAATCCATGCCACTACCACAGCCTAAAGGCCTCACTCAAGGGTAACCCTAGCATCTCATTTGGTTATTCGAACTTAACCCTTGTCCATTGTTTTATGTATATTATACTCCACTTTACTATAAACTAATTCTGTTCCTGGTGCACGGTTGTTTGCCTCTTTCAATCACTAGTATCTCAATACGTTAAACAGGGTGGTTTTTTATCAAGGCTCGAACGGATCTTCCGGTTATTAATGCTGGAGTACCTTTCATTTCGTTTGAAGATGTGATGGAAGGGATTCGTTGTTGGCATCACCGGAAACTGTAGATGGATTTCCTCGACACTGTGACTGTAGACTAGTGCGATTAGGTCCTTGGCGCACCACACTGTGACCCTGATGTATCCTTGCTGAGATTTCGTCCGTAATGTGGTAGCGTGTTTAACAATAATTCAATAAAACACTAAGACAACAAAGTTTGCCGGCTTTAAACCTACTTACTTCTTACAGTCTAACTTGGTCCACTGAATGAGGCATCTCATGAATTGGTTGGATATCCTATACTTTGCTTAAATGTTTGCCGAAAATTTAAGTGGCTTCGGATGCTGTGTGAAGCGGCTGTAGATGAAGCGAGAAACGGATGCAATTGTGACCGAACAGTTGCATCCTTCCTTAAAACATTTATATATTTGATCCTGCAATATTACCGCACGTGATTGCGTTCTATTGCACGCGTGCTGTGTTAATGCATTGTTCTCGGAATGCGTGAGGTGCTATAGTCGAAACCAGATTGCTCGCTGGCACTTATCGTTCCCTCCCTTTTTCTCTCTCTAATCCTATCTAACAGTCACAAGTAGTTCCCACTTAACTTTTACCTACATTCCTTAAATTCAGAGTGGTGGCTGTTTTAGAGGTTGTTTGACTTTGTTTTCGCAACATGGTCATATTGGTAGGAAGACTTATTGAAACGCACCTAGTCCGGGGTCCATTGTCTGCACGATCATTTCCAAAGTTGAACCGTGGACGTGGTACATTCTCAAACGTTTCGCCGGCATCGTAGTCGGTATCGTCAGTGAGTATCGCCATTCTTAGCACCACACAACAACTCGCCAAAGAGAAAAGTGAAGCCGATCCATTGACCAGACTTGTGCTAAAAAATTGTGGTATCTCCCTTCTGCCTTGGGTTATTCGCATTTCCGGTTGCATCCTATCATGCCTTCACTATTAAAATTTTTACAGTATTTATTTAGA